GCTGAACATTTTTACCCTTGCCTCCCATGTTTTATGTTTTGCATGTCACGTGCACTTTTTTTTATATTATATGAAATTTATTGCCAAATTAGTTTCCATACAACACCCAGTGCTCATTCCAAAAGATGCCCTCTTCAATGCCCATCACCTACCCTCCCTTCCCTCCCACCCCCCATCAACCCTCAGTTTGTTCTCAGTTTTTGAGAGTCTTTTATGCTTTGACTCTCTCTCCCACTCTAATCTCTTTGTTTTCTTTTTTACTTTTTCCTTCCCCTCCGCCATGGGTTTCTGTTAAGTTTCTCAGGATCCACATAAGAGTGAAAACATACGGTATCTGTCTTTCTCTGTATGGCTTATTTCAGTTAGTATAAGACTCTCCAGTTCCATCCACGTTGCTACAAAGGGCCATATTTCATTCTTTCTCTTTGCCACGTAGAACTCCGTTGTGTATATAAACCACAATTTCTTTATCCATTCATCAGTTGATGGACATTTAGGCTTTTTCCACAATTTGGCTATTGTTGAGAGTGCTGCTATAAACATTGGGGTATAAGTGCCCCTCTGCATCAGCACTCCTGTATCCCTTGGGTAAATTCCTAGCAGTGCTATTGCTGGGTCATAGGGTAGGTCTATTTTTAATTTTCTGAGGAACCTCCACACTGTTTTCCAGAGTGGCTGCACCAGTTTGCATTCCCACCAGCAGTGCAAGAGGGTTCCCGTTTCTCCACATCCTCACCAGCATCTGTAGTCTCCTGATTTGTTCATTTTGGCCACTCTGACTGGTGTGAGGTGATATCTGAGTGTGGTTTTGATTTGTATTTCCCTGATTAGGAGCAGTGTTGAGCATCTTTTCATGTGCCTGTTGGCCATCTGGATGTCTTCTTTAGAGAAGTGTCTGTTCATGTTTTCTGCCCATTTCTTCCCTGGATTATTTGTTTTTCGGGTGTGGAGTTTGGGGAGCTCTTTATAGATTTTGGATACTAGCCCTTGTCTCATATGTCATTTGCAAATATCTTCTCCCATTCCGTTGGTTGCCTTTTAGTTTTGTTGATTGTTTCCTTTGCTGTGCAGAAACTTTTTATCTTCATGAGGTCCCAATAGTTCATTTTTGCTTTTAATTCCCTTGCCTTTGGGGATGTGTCAAGTAAGAAATTGCTGCGGCTGAGATCAGAGAGGTCTTTTTCTGCTTTCTCCTCTAGTGTTTTGATGGTTTCCTGTCTCACATTCAGGTCCTTTATCCATTTTGAGTTAATTTTTGTGAATGGTGTGAGAAAGTGGTCTAGTTTCATTCTTCTGCATGTTGCTGTCCAGTTTTCCCAGCACCATTTGTTAAAGAGACTGTCTTTTTTCCATTGGATATTCTTTCCTGCTTTGTCAAAGATTAGTTGGCCATACATTTGTGGGTCTAGTTCTGGGGTTTCTATTCTATTCCATTGGTCTATGTGTCTGTTTTTATGCCAATACCATGCTGTCTTGATGATGACAGCTTTGTAGTAGAGGCTAAAGTCTGGGATTGTGATGCCTCCTGCTTTGGTCTTCTTCTTCAAAATTACTTTGGCTATTCGGGGCCTTTTGTGGTTCCATATGAATTTTAGGATTGCTTGTTCTAGCTTCAAGAAGAATGCTGGTGCAATTTTGATTGGGATTGCATTGAATGTGTAGATAGCTTTGGGTAGTATTGACATTTTAACAGTATTTATTCTTCCAACCCGTGAGCATCACGTGCACTTTGAATATGTTCTTCTGGCCTGTAGCATTTCTGCTGAAAAATGTGCTCATAGTCACATGGGGTTTTCCTTGTATGTAACAAAGTTTTTCTTCTTTTTGTTTGTTTGTTTTTTCTTGTTGCCTTTAAGGTTCTCTGTCTCATTTTTTTTTTTTTTTAACTTCTGACATTTTATAATGTGTCTTGGTGTGGGGTCTCTGCATTTATTTCATTTAGAACTCGCTGTCCTTCCTGGATCTGTAGGTCTTTCCTTACCCAGGTTATTGGAGTTTTCAGTTACTATTTCTTAAAATAGTTTTCTGGCCCTTTCTCCTTCTGAGATTCATTTAATGTGAATGTTGGCCTGCTTGGTGTTGTCTTCTAAGCCTCTTAAGCTGTCTTCACTTTATTTCATTCTTTTCTCTTTTTGCTGCTCTGCCGGGTGAGTTCCTCCATCCTGTCTTTGAATTCATTGATCCTGCTTCATCTAGTTAGCTGTTGAACCCCTACAGTGTATTTTTCACATCAGTTTTTGCATTTTCAGCCCTGTGACTTCTGTTGGGTACTTTCTTATATTTTCTTTTTGTTGACGTTCTCACTGTGTTATCCATTCTTCTCCCGAATTTGGTGAACATCTTTATGACCATTAGTTTGAATTCTTTATCAGATAAATTCCTTATCTCCATTTCATAAAGGTTTTTAAAGAGTTTTAAATTGCTCTTTTGTTTGGAACTTGGTCCTTTGTTCTTCATTTTGCTTGACTCTGTTTGTTTCCCTGCATTAGGTGAACTAGCATCCCTAGTAGTCTTGAAGAGTTGGCCTGAGAAGGAGATGAAATCTATCCTTCAACCCTGTCCTAGCTCTTGGTTGTTTCTCAAACTTTTGTAATTTTCCAAGCAGCCTATTTTATTTTTAATAGCTCCCAGTACTTTGGGGTATTCCAGGACCAGTTAATGTCCCAAAGGGGAGGATCTCATTTAACACCTAGATTCAGGCTGATTGGAAGCCAGACCCTCAGGCAACAGCTTGCTTGCTTGCTTGCTTTTTTTTTTTTTTTTTTTTTTTTTTTAATGGTTATTTATTTATTTTGAGAGAGAATGCTTGAGTAGGGTAGGGGCAGAGAGAGGGAGACAGAGAGAATCCACACTGGTGGCTTGGAGCCTGACATGGAGCTGGAACTCATGAACCGTGAGACCATGACCTGAGCTGAAACCAAGAGTCAGATGCTTAACCTACTGAGCCACCCAGATGCCCCATGGCAGCAGCTTTTAAGGAATAGAGAGCATGTGCAGTTGTATTGGACTACAAGCGTAAGTCCCGCTGAGCAGCACAGCCAGGTCATATGGAGGTGCCCACGGTGGCAGTTGTAAAAATCAGGACTTGTTGAGCATGTAACCTTCTTTCTGAGAGATCCTGGGGAGCGATTGTGAGGTAGAAGGAGAGTACACAGATAGCGCCTCTGGCTACGTTCCTTGCGAGCAGCTCTGTAGCTTCTAGATGTATGCCAAACTTGAAGACTGCCCCTCAGGCTGAAGCTCCGGGACAAGCAGTTAGGCGTCTTTCCCAGAAAGGCTGGGGGTGTTTCAATCCGCTGCCTGTGCGGTGCACTGGTGGTGGTTGCCATCTCAGAACTGTCTCCCTGACCGTTACAGTCCCATGACCCCCAGGGCCGGGTGATCGAGGGTTAGGCCCTGGGAGGCAGCCACGAAAAGCAGGGTACCAGAGGTCAAAACTGGGGCACCAGACACATACAGAAGCTCCCCTCTGAGAGATGCTGGTGCTGTGAGACACAGCAAAAGCCAGGAGGAGAAGGGTGCCCACCCTCCAAGGTCTCAGGAAAGGTTTCCAATTAGCCCCTGGATGTGTGTTCAGTTAGGGTCCTGTGAGGAGAAGCTGGCAGGCTCTTGTACAGAGGGACTGAGCTGACTGAGCTCCTGGGTCTGTTGCCTCACTGTGCCCTAGGGACGCCCGCTGTTTAAGAACCCTTTCTCCATTGGTGACAGTTCTGTAGGACCTGTGAGGGTAAGTCCCACCGGCCAGCAGAGCCAGGTGACAGAGAGGAGTCCCCAGGCCGCAACTGCGAAAATCAGGGCACCAAGCAAAGGGCATAAGCTCCTTTCTGGAAGATACCAGTGAGCTGGAGTGAGGCAGAGGGAGAGTGCAAAAATTAGGTCCCCTGGACTCCATTCCCTGAGAGCCCTTCTGTAGGCCCCTGGGAGTGTGCCACAGCAGAAGCCTGCCCCTCGGGCACATGAAATCGGCCTGTCAGAAACTGGGGATGGGTCTCAGTCTGCTCTCAGTGCCATGGCCTGGGAGTGGTGGTCTACCGAGAACTGTGCCTCCAGTTGTTAGGGTCCTGTGGACCCAGGAACGCAAGCCGCCCTGGCCTTTAAGGCCAGGTGATCAAGGGGGTTACCTGACAAACGGTTTGGCGGATGTAAAACTGCGGCACCAGATGCGAGTAGACGCTTTCCTCCAGCAGATTCTGGTGGTCTGGAGCACGGCAGGCGGGGAGCCAAAGATTGTGCCCCCCGGCTGGCGGGGGGCAGAGGGGCTTGCAAAGATGGCACTCGCTGGAAAGGGGGGGGGAGAAAGGAGAAAAGATGGCGCCCGCCGGATTTAGCAAAGCAGAGAAGATGGCACCGGCCACCTCCATCTCTGAAGAAGATCTCTCAGTCCAACGCTTGAAAGTTTGGAAATGAGCCTCTTTCACATAAACCCTGGGTGCTTTTCGGAGAGCTGCTTCTGCACTCGGCCCTGGGGTGAGTGAGTCTGCACGCAGGCCCTGAAGGAGTCTTTCTTCCCCAGTTCGCCACGGCCCGCAGGTCTCCTAGGCCCCAGCCCGGCTGGTCTTCAAAGCCATATGTTCCTGGGGCTCATCTCCTAGGCTCAGGTCTTAAACGTTGGGCTGTGAGGTGTGTGAGGTATGACTCCTCCGCCTTTCAGGGAGAAGCTCCGGGTTTGAATTCCCTCCCAATGGTGGGGGTGGGGCTTGCGGTGAGGTTGTCTCAGCCTCTCCTACCTGCCTTGACGGGCTGTCCGACTCATCCTCCACGCGGAAGGAGTCAGTTGGCCAGCTTTTAGGCTGTTTTTCAGAGGAGATTGTTCCATATATAGCTACAGATTTGGGGTGTTCACCCGAGGAGGTGAATTCAGGCTCTTCCAACGTTGCCATGTTGGACCGGAAGCACTGGTTTCCCTAAGAGCGCCGTACAAAAGGAATCTAATGTTTGCTGACTATAAAACCAAATGGCTGAAAACGTGCGTTCGTAATTATTCTTAACTTTTGACATAGGAGTTTATACAAGAAATAGAAACTTTCGGCTGTATAAATCATCGAAGATAGGGAAGCACGTGGCTTTGGAGATTGCTGAAGATAACAAGTTTTTTCCTAAACATTCGGAGACTGTATCTGAAGAAAATCAATGTTTCCTGTCTTCTTTGGTCAGCAATGTCAGGTAGGTAGTATATAGTACCAACATCAAACTGTTGCATATTCGTGAATGCTTATTAAGCAGTGAACAGCATTGGATAGTACTATAATGTGAGTTGGGTAAATTCATTCCAACTTAAGGAAAAGGAAGTTCTCAAAATTCTAGGGTAACGTATTTTTATAAAGAAGAAAATTAAAACTGTTCCATGTGCAAATAGAGTTACTGTTAATATCTACTTTTCATATATGCATGTTCATACGTACTTATATACGTCCTTCATTCAAAAAATAGTTGAGATCATTATTTATGTGGTTATATCTGTTGTTTTATCCACTCGACATTATATCATGAATATCTTCCAAGTTAGTAATTTGCAACAGTTAGTTGTAATGAAAACTTAAAATTTGTTTTAATGTTTCTGTGTTCTTGATAGAGAGACAGCACACAAACTGGAGGGGGGCAGAGAGAGAGGGAGACCCAGAATCCGAAGCAGGCTCCAGGCTTGGAGCTGACCGCCCAGAGCCCCACGCGGGGCTTGAACTCACAAGCTGTGAGATCCTGACCTGAGCTGAAGTTGGGTGCTTAACCAACTGAGTTACATTTGTCAGAAGTAATGTCAGGGTCTTAGTTTCCTTACCTTTAAAATGGAAATAATATGGGGCGCCTGGGTGGCTCAGTCAGTTGGGCGTCCGACTTCACCTCAGGTCACGATCTCACGGTGTGGGAGTTCGAGCCCCGCGTCAGGCTCTGGACTGATGGCTCAGAGCCTGGAGCCTGCTTCTGATTCTGTGTCTCCCTCTCTCTCTGCCCCTCCCCCGTTCATGCTCTGTCTCTCTCTGTATCAAAAATAAATAAACGTTAAAAAATTTTTTTTAAATAAAATGGAAATAATATTAACACCTATCTTAGGGAGTTGTGAAGATTAAATGAGGGAAGAGGTACACACAAAATTATAGCTGGGCCTGGCACGCGATGTCTGCTGGGTAAGTGTTAGTTGTTAGCAGCTGTTCCTGAGATTCTGGAAGTACAGTGGTAAGTGTAAGAATTGTATCCCTGTGGTTGGCACAGGAGTGGCCTCTAATACAACCTGAAGTCATCTCCTGATTACCAAATCCTATTTCTTTTGTAGTTTCGGTATTAATTTCATACAAGTGGAGAGTTCTTCTACTCAATGGGGTTTCCTTAATTTTCTTTTGTGTAGCCAAGTAATAAGTATTTCTCTTCCTGAAATAAACGCTAAATTTTTTATGGCTATGAGTCTGTCTTTCAGTTAACTTTAATTCATTTTTTCCTTTGCTCTCATCCCTCCTTCCTTCTTTTTTTTTCACACTTTTCAAATTATTTTTAGACTTATTCACACTTTTCAAATCATTGTAACAAAAATGTCAAAGGCTCTGTCTGTATGTTTGGAGAATAGAATTGTACTTCATTCTATAGCTTCAGCAGTCCCAGAGTCCTCTGGTTCACTCTGTGGTTGAAGAAAGTATTTTAATTTTTAAAAATTTATTTGAGAGAGAGAGAGAGAGAGAGAGAGGGAGGTGGAGAGGGGCAGAGGGAGAGAGCGAGAATCCCAAGCAGGTTCCACACTCAGTTGCTCAGCGCAGAGCCTGATGCAAGGCTTGATCCCACGACCTGGATCATGAACTGAGCCAAAATCAAGAGTCAAGAGTCAGATGCTCAATTGACTGAGCCACCCAGGCAGCCCAAAGAAAGTATTTTAAGTGATCACCAAACTACTCTTTTCTATATGGATAGGATTGGTGTTTTTGTAGGCAAATGTAGCTTGATTGTCCTAGAACAATTAGCTGTTGAACAAAGGATTTTAATGTGGAACTCTTTGAAATTCAGTCTCCTTTCCGTAGCCATGTCTCTTTAATTCTTACATAATGTTAACTGTTTCTTTCACCTATTTTCTTCAGATTCTCAGACACTTTACGAATTCTGACATGTGACACATCTCAAAATAAAGAAAAACGAATTGAATGTTTTAGCAGCACCAACACTAAAGGTAATTTTAAGAGAACAATTTCCTATGAAAATTTAAGGATACAAAGTCTGTTTTGCCTTGAAGATTTTAAATCTTCAGTATTCATATCTACTGATCATTTATTATTTTTTTTGCACTTTATTTATTTAGAGAGAGAGCTATTAGGGGAGGGGCAGAGAGAGGGGGAGAGAGAGAATCCCAGCGGGCTCTGCACCAACGAGGGGCTTGAACTCATGAGCCATGAGATCATATCCTGAGATGAAACCAAGAATCAGACAACCCAACTGAGCCACACAGGTGCCTCAGTATCTACTGATCCTTTAAAACAACTTAGTTTCTATCCAAAAGGGAAAAAGTGTAAAGAAAAGATATTTATATTTTTTATTTTTTTTTAATTTTTATTTTTTTAAATTTTAATGTTTATTTTTTGAGAAAGCGTGAGCAGGGGAGGAATAGAGAGAGGGAGACACAGAATCTGAGGCAGGCTCCAGTTTCTAAGCTGTCAGCACAGAGCCTGACGTGGGGCTTGAATTCATGAACTGAGAGATCATGACCTGGGCAGAAGTTGGATGTTTAACTGACTGAGCCACCCAGGCTCCCCAAGAAAAGATAATTTTTAAAGTGTATTCACTAATTTTCATCTTATGATGGTTTGGGGGGCAGGAAATGGGAAAATAGAGTAGATTGTTGGTAGAAATAAACCATTATTAAAAGAAAAACCTAGGGGGGACTTGGTGGCTCAGTCGGTTAAGCATATGACCTCAGCTCAGGTCATGATCTCACAGTCTGTGACCTTGAGTCCCATGTCAGGCTCTGTGCTGACAGCTCAGAGCCTGGAGCCTGCTTCAGGTTCTGTGTCTCCCTCTCACTGCCCCTCCTCTGCTCACACTGTCTCAAAAATAAAAGGAAAAAAAAGAAAAACCTAAAAGTCCTCTTCCCTTCTGTCCACAACCAAAGATGGGTAGCCACCATCAGTTTCCATGGAACCCCGTGGAGATTTCCCTTGCATTTCCCTGTTCTTGGAATGGCTGCATGGTTTTCACGCATGTCCTTCATTTTTATATTGAAAAACATAGAGGTTTTTTTCTAGGATTTCATATATTCTCCCGTAAACAATTTTGTAAATGCATTTTGGATTATCATTATTTATAGCAGTGAAAAACTGGAAACAAATCTAAATGTAAAACAAAATGGCATTGGTTATATCCTATAACATACTCTATAACCAATTTATAAAATTTATAAAAACCAATATAACATGGGAAATGTCCATTTATAAGAAAAAAAGTAGACTCTGAAATTGGAAGGTATGATTACAGCTTCATTAAAAACATGGATAACATTTTCTTATGCTTATTTTCTTCTTGTTTAACAGTTATTTCTAGGTACTGATTTGGAGTTTATTTCTCTCATTTCTGCTTTAGTGTATTTTCCAAAGTTTCTCCAATTATGTATATTATTTTTGTAAGTGAAATATAGGCATTGTTTGTTTATTTGCACACTTTTTTTAAAAAAGTGTATTTATTTTGAGAATGGGAGGGAGAGAGAGAGTGAACACCTGAGAGTCTGTCGCTTAACCGACTGAGCCACCCAGGTGCCCCTATTTATTTATTTAGAGACAGAGAACACAGTGGGGGAGAGGGGCAGAGGGAGAAAGTCTGTAATCAGCCTTCACTCTCAGAGCAGAGCCTGACTCAGGGCTTGATTCCATGACCCTGGGATCATGACCTGAGCCAACATCAAGAGTCAGACACTCAACCGACTGACCCACCCCGGCGCCCCAATATAGGCTTTATTTTAAGAAAAGTAGATAATTCTGTGTTTAAAAATGAAGTGAGATTTTAAGTAAATGATTGTAAATTATCCCAGTAGATTCTTAGATACAAGATAGAACCAAATTGTCAGAGCCCTACGGCTGAAGGTCCTGCGAGAGCACACCTGCAGTGAACCAGTGGCGTGTGTTATGTGTGGAAAACACGTACCACCGGGATCTGTGGGGGCAGCTCAGTAAAAGGGTGTTAGAAACGACTTCTAGGATTCAGGCTTGAGTTGGGTGTTTTGAGGAATGTCCAAGGCAGCGTGGATTTGTTTTCAGCTGGGTACTGTCGGAGACAATTCTGCGCTTGACTATCTTCATAAAGTTTATCTAGAAGGAAGGCAGACTACAGTGGGACTAAAGCTAGAAATTGGCAAAGCAGCCCCCGTTATGAATAAGATGGGCGGCGTTTAGTCATTTTTGTGGTTTGGAAATAGTTCATGTTTTGTTTGTGATTGCAGAGCGCTCTTATTTTTGTCTTGAATCATCTTGGCCACAGAGTGACCTTATGTGATGTTGAAATTCTGTGAAATGGTTACTCATCAGCAGGAAAATACAGGGCTGAGCCGTGTGTGCCCAGCCTGTTTGTCACAACACCAAGGCCGATAGGAGTAGGCCAGCTCCGGGGTGTAAGGGGTTGCTTTTCTCTTTGTAAGAATGAAGAAAGCAATCAGAATGATTATAGGTGCTTCTTGTGAAAATTAGTTAACATTGGGCTTAATTGAGAGGTTTGAATATTACTTACTTGTAGGATAAGCCAGAACCCATGACTGACTAAAAGACAAATGGAGAAATGGGAGGGCGGGGGGAGGGACCTGGAGAGTTTCCAAAACGTGTAATTGTACTAAAGAACAACTTAAAATTTAACTCTTCAGCTTTTAGCCACTTTAATTATAATGAATTTTTCTCTCTGTTGCAGCAGAAAACATTGAGGGTTTTCATTGTTCGCCCTACCCTGAAATTGATCAATTTGTTCTTTCTTTGGTGAATAAAAATGGCATTCAAGGAGGTAAAGATAATCTTATTCCTTATTCACTGTAATATGATGGAGTTTTAATAGCTTCAGAAACATTATTTGCATTTTAGGAATTCGGCGTTGGAGCTACTTTTTCCCAGAAGAGTTACTGGTTTATGATATTTGTAAATATCGCTGGTGTGAAAACATCAGAAGAGCGCACAAGAGCAATAATATCATGTAGGTAATGTTGTTTATTGAGTTCCATGTATTTAACCAACATTACATTTTAAATTTTTATAATTTTTACAGTTGAGAATATAAACATGATTTTGTTCTTATAATGAATGTAGTTACATCAGATACTGTATTTGGTTTATGTTTGAAAATATTTAATTTGACCAACTTAATTATCACCTTAGCACATGTCATTTTCATCTGTACTTTATTTGGTAAAATAATCCATTAGATAGTATAATCTTGAGAAGAGTAAGGTAGAATTGAGTGGGGCTAGAAAGAAATTAGAGGCAGTAGACCGGAGGAAGGAAGTATCTCTCCCTTGTCTGTTTCCATTGGTCCTTGACATGTTATATGGAGTAAATTGAAATCAAGCAAACTTGGGTGAAAAGGAAACTCTTCGGTGCTAAGAGTTGGAATTAAGGTTAACATGTTCAAGACAAAGAATGATATTGAGAGGAACAAATATTTATTGAATGCTTGCTGTATGCACCAGGCCCTGTTTTAGGAGTTTTCTGTAAAATCCCCCTGGTAAAAGGAGAGGGAGTGAAGGATGAAGTGAAACCAGAAATAGAATTTTAGATAATACAGGGGCACCTGGGTGTCTGTTGGTTCAGCATCTGACTCAGGCTTTCAGCTCAGGTCATGATCTTGCAGTTCGTTAGTTTGAGCCCTGCATTGGGCCCTACACTGACAATGAGGACCCTGCTTGGGATTCTCTGTCTCTCTTTGTTCCTCCCCCACTTGTGCATGCTCTCTGTCTCTCTGTGTCTCCGTCTCTCTCGCTCAAAATATATAAACTTAAAAAAAAAAAGAATTTTACATAATACAAAGGTATGGTTAGAATAGGGATGAGATAGAAACCCAGCAGTTACTGGTTATGATATGGGAAGTTTTGCTGTGTTTTATATTTAACACAAAGCTGAGACTTCTGTGTATCAAGTGTAAATAGCACGTGTGCCAGACATGAGAAAAGACTGTGAAGTTCTGCTAGGAAGCTAGTGAATACATTGGGTAGCATGACTCAGTGCTATACTTACATATGTAGGTTAACCCAGTTAAAAAAAAATAACATTTCAAAAATTATATGCTCAATACACAAAAGCTATCACGTAGAATAGCTCAAAGAAAAGATTACCCATAGGCCCAGAACCAGTGATAACTGTGGTTATAATTTTGGTATATCTTTCTAATTTTTTACTCTATGGATATATAAGTTTACCAGTAAATCATTATCATAAGATGATCATCTTTTTTTTTTTAAAGAATTTTTTAATTTTAATTTTATTTTTTATTTTAAAGTTTATCTTTTTGAAATTTTTTTTTAACGTTTATTTATTTATTTATTTTTTTGGGACAGAGAGAGACAGAGCATGAACGGGGGAGGGGCAGAGAGAGAGGGAGACACAGAATCGGAAACAGGCTCCAGGCTCTGAGCCATCCGCCCAGAGCCTGATGCGGGGCTCGAACTCACGGACCGCGAGATCGTGACCTGGCTGAAGTCGGCCGCTTAACCGACTGCGCCACCCAGGCGCCCCAAAAGTTTATCTTCTTGAGAGAGAGCATGCGAGTTGGGGAGGGGCAGACAGGGAGAGAGGGAATCCCAAGCAGGCTCCACACTGACAGCACGGAGCCCGACGTGGGGCTGGAACTCAAGAACCGCAAGATCAAGATCTGAGCTGAAATTAAGAGTTGGACGCTTAACTGACTGAGCCACCCATGTGCCCTCCCCCTTTTTAAAAATTGTTTATTTACTTTGAGAGAGAAGGAGAGAGAGAATCCCTAGCAGGCTCCGTGCTGTCCTCACAGAGCCCGACGCATGGCTTAATCCCATGAACTATGAGATCATGACATGAGCCAAAATGAAGAGTCGAACGCTGAACCAACGCAGCCACCCAGGCGCCCCCCCTTTTGACTAATTCTCAAATACGGACTCTTATTAATGGGATATGTGTCGTTCTGAGCATCACATAACCTCGTAAACCTTGGAATTAGATTGGACACTGTCACCCTCACGGTTCTGTCTTATTCTGCATTGAGGTTAGTGGTCCTTTTTATCCCAGTCACCACCAAAAACCTCAGCTCTACAAAGACAGGACAGGACCGAAAGGAATGAAGGCTGTTACAGTTCTGAGCCTGTGAACCGTAAGCAAGTAGTTTGCAGGGCGCATGACGGATGTCAAGTATCACAGTTACCCTTGGGAACATGTAAATATTCTTCATGACCCTGGGACAGTTTGATGTGAAGTTTGGGAACTGCAGCATTAATGCGTTTATTAGGATTGTTCAGGTTCTTCATAACTTTTTGAGTTTGCTTAGTTGGGTGTCTTTTTATCTAGTACTTTGTCTATTTTACCAAAATGCTTAATGTTACTGTCAGAAATTGTTCATAATATTCTTAAATTTTTAGTATATTCTACTTTTGTAGTTATAGCTGCACTAAATTTTGAGTAACACTTATGTCTTTACCTTATTTATTTTTTGATCAATCTGGCAAGAATTGTATTAGTCTTCACATTTTGGCCTTGTTGATTCTTTTACATTTTGGCTTCTTGGGGCACCTCGGTGCCTCAGTCAACCGGTTAAGCATCCGATTCTTGATTTCAGCTCGGGTCATGATCTCATGGTTCGTGAGTTTGACCCCTGGGTCTGGCTCTGTGCTGAGAGCGTGGAGCCTGCTCCAAAATAAACAGTGTGGAACTTGCTCTCAAAATAAACAAACATTTAAATTTTTGCTTACTTCCTGCCTTTTATTTTATTAGAGTTTATTCTATTGTTCATTTCCCAAGTTAGTACTTATTGGTCTTCAGCTATTCTTTTATGTAAATAAGCTTTTTCTAAAGATCGTTTTAGCTCTATTTCACATATTTTAATACATATTTTCAATTGCATTCAGTTCCATTTTCTAATTTCCATCATGATTTTTCCTTGAATAATTGGTTATTTAGAAATGTTTTTCAGATGTGGCTGGGGCTTCAGTGGCCTCACTATGTATACCGTTTTCGGTTTCCAGAGTCTGTTGACTGCAATCTTGGTGCTTATATGTACCTGTGCTTATATCCTATCCTTGGCACCCGGCCTCCTAGACAGAAATAAGACTGGATTGTTGGGTATATTTTGGAAGTGCGCCAGAATTGGTGAACGGAAGAGTCCTTACGTCGCAGTACATGATGGCCTTCGGCGTTTTCTTCATACAGTAGCTGGGAAAAATATCATAATTTAATTGCCAGCAGATTTCCGTATGAAAAAAGGACTTACCTATAGAACATAATGGAATGAATAGTTAACTCTTTTATCTCTGAACACTGAATGAGATAAATTTCCAGCTGCTGTTCTCTATTTTTGTTATTGGACCAATGTTCTCTATAAACAGGGTGTAACCATTTAATACGCAGAGTTTAATATGTCTAACAATCAATGTGAGCGGTGTCACTACAATATTACATTCTGCAAATGTTACTCTGTCAGATACCAGTTTTTAGTGAGGCATCTCTGAGACACAGAATAGAAAACAAAATTGGGAAATCAATTTACTTCCCTTCACTGTGATTTGGAAATGATAAATCTTTATGGGATGAGACACTTTTCTGGGCTAGCTTTTTTTATTGAGAAAAAAAAGGTTCAATTTGTGTTGGTAAGGACTGCATTCATATTTAATAATGCTTGCTTTTCCTCTGGCCACACCAGAGCATTAACAGAGTGCCTCTAAGCAAACTCTATAGTGTATTACAGACATTTCAACTATTTAAAACAAGCCTGTGCAGTTCTTAAGGAAGAAGGTAAATGAGATATAACTTAAGAGTAGTATTGGGAAAATGTCCATATTTAACATAAAAGTTTAGAATAGCTGACTGGTCCAGTAGCCTCTGAAAACTCTAGATAAGTATGGATAAATATCTTACGAATAAATTGACCAGCTGTCAGTCTCTGAATAAGACTACATTCTTAGAGTGAAAAGAACAAAATAGAACAATTCAGATTAAAAAAAAAAAGTTTTTCATTTCCAAGTTACGTGTTTCTATTAGCTATTTTTCTAATATTTATTTCTAAACAGTTTGCTTTGTGGTCAGAGATGTGTTGTATGAATACTTTTTTTTAAATTCAGTGAAATTAACATGATACCTGGCACAGTCAGTTTTTATCATTGTTTTGTGTTGAAGTTTATTTATTTAGAGAGCATGTGGGAGGGGCAGAGAGAGAGGGAGGGACAGAATCCCAAGCAGGCTCCACACTGGACCGCGCAGAGCCCGACGTGGAGCTAGAACTCACAAACTGTGAGATCATGACCTGGGCCAAAACCAAGTTTGGACGCTTAACCAACTGAGCCACCCAGATGCCCCTGTAATTGTTGTATATGTGAGTGTAAAGAACTTCCAACTATCTGAAACAATATTCATGTATGCCTGTTACATCAAACTTGGTAATTGCTTTTTAATTTATGTCATTCAAATTTTCTATATCCTTTCTGAATTTTTTGTGCCTATTTGTATCAAATACTAAAAGAATGTTTTTTAAAATCTTGATTCATGGGAGATTTATTTATCCTTGGAGTTCCATCAGTTTTGCTTATGCATTTTTGAAGTTTTTTTTATTTGGTGGGTGCAGGTTGAGAATTAGGTCTTCCTGGAAGAACTTTTGTCTATAGATATACGTATAGATATGTATATACATATATACATGTTATATACATATGTACATATACATATGTATATACATATCGATACATATATTGTATATGTATCTATATGTATATAGATATACATATATTTTCCCCCTAAAGTCCATTTTGCATGCTATCTTTGACAACCACAGTTTTCTTTTGGGTGGTGTATATTTATTTCAATGCTTCTACTTTCTACCTTGTCTGCATCTTTAAGTCTTAGTTAGGCACATCTCTGGTAAGCAGCATGTAGATGAATTTTGTTTTCCATCCAGTCTGGGAATCAAGTTGTAACTCTTTTTCCTTTCTGGTTTTTTCAATATAAAGGATTTTGGTTGATCTGAAAAATGAAGTTTGGTATCAAAAATGTCATGACCCTGTATGTAAAGCAGAAAACTTCAAATCGGACTGTGAGTTGTTAATTTTTACATTTATACCAAGTGAAAATAGGAGGTCTATATAAAACAGTTTTGCTCTTTTTCTTGTTCAGGTTTTCCATTACCTGCTGAAGTTGGTCTCCTGTTTCTGCTCAAGGAGGTAAGTGCAGGTTTTAGTTTCTTTCTCATTAGTAATCAGTTCTTGGTACAACAGTATCCATGAGCTATTAGTAGTGTTCAGACGTGTCCACATAGCCTTTAAACACACTCTGCAGTACTTAGTTTTCACTTAGGAGCGTGCCGTAGTGATTGTGCCTTGTGAGCACGTACCTGGTAGGATGCACCTCACTGTCACTGCCGCGGAAGAAATTGTGTAGATACCTAGTCAACCACTCCCAGACAGTTAACAAGTTTCTCATGTTTCGTTTTACAAAGCGTACCAAAATACTCATCTTTGTGTTTCTTTAAACAACTCTTTCTGTAGGGAGAATTTCTGGAAGTAAATTATGTCAAAGAGTGTATACATTTTTAATTTTGGTAGATATTGCTAGATTGCCAAATTAACATTTTCCTGTTAAAAACCTTTATTTGCCCAAATAATTCACATTCACTCTGAGAAAAAATTAGAAAATATATGAAAAGCCAAAGGGGAAAAACTCCTCCTCACATATAATTTGACCACTCAGAGATAACAGATGTAAGTGCTTTGGCATAGATCTTCCAGAAATTTCTATTTATGGTGCTCCCGTGTATATTTTTAAAGTCATAGTATGCGTACTATGTTAGAGGCTTTTTTTCCTACTTCAGCTCTCACAAATGTTTTCAGTAGTATGTATTACCAGTTGGTACCAATAAAAATGATACAAAATTAGGCTTCACAATTTAAGAGAGCACCTGTTTACACCTTTGCCAACATTGTTTATTTTTACCTTTGACCTTTACCAACCTATTTGGCCAAAAGTGATATTTCAGTTGTTTTTGTTTACATTTCTTAGTCTTAAGGAAGTTGAACTTCTTTCAGATTTACGATTTGTATTTCTGTTACCGAGTGTTGGTAACTGTCCTATAGAAATGTTGTACAAGGACAACAAACTCTCTCTTCACCTAGAGTTGCCCTTTGTTAATATTGGTTACATTAGTGTTTCTCCCTCTACTGTATGCACACACATTTTTGATGAATTTTGTCTTAGTCATTTTAGGCTACTATAAAGAATACCACAGGCTGGGTGGCTTTTTTTTGTTGTTGTTTAGTTTTTATTTATTTTTGAGAGAGAGTGCAAGTGGGGGAGGGGCAGAGAGAAAGAGAATCCCTAGCAGGCTCTGCGCTCTCAGCAGAGCCCGACGTGGGGCTCGAACTCACAAAACCGTGAGATCGTGACCTGAGCTGAAAACAAGAGTTGGACACTTAACCAACTGAGCCACCCAGGTGCCCCTGACTGGATGGCTTATCAGCAACAGAAGTTTATTTCTCACAGTTCTGGAGGCCTAGAAGTCTAAGGTCAAGGCCCTGGCAGATTTGGTGTCTGGTTGGCTTCCTGGGTTATAGGGAGCCACCTTCTCGCTGAATCCTTGTGGGGGATAAGTTTAAAAATTCTCCGAGCTTGCACCAAGAGTTAACAAGGCTTAGGGCGGAAAGCCGCTTCCACAGGACCAAAGCATAGGAGAACAGGTAGAGGTGGAAAGCTGCCACAGGGTGAAAGCACCCAGGGCTAATTATTGAGAAAAACACCTTGTTAACCCTGAGGTAGCATGCTCTGTCTTAGCCCCTAGAAAAGTTAAGATAAACAGATGTGGTGCCTGGTGCCTTTAGTAAACAGCTGTCTGCTTGGTGTCGAGATTTTGATTTGTCTTGACCCTAACCCCACACATCTTCAAAAACCCCTTTTCTCTCACACAGGAGTTAATGGTTACTGTATTATTGTTTGTTTCTGCATGTCTATCACATATGCGAGCCTTCTAATCCTAATAAATACGGAGCTAGGTCCCTTACTCGGGGCTCTTGTCTCCTCCTGGACATTAGCCTCTCTCATATTCAATTCTTCATCTGCTCTCTTGATGGAGAAGAGAGAACTCCAGACTGAGAGTCTGCGACAAGTCCTCGCATGTCAGAGGAATGAAAGAGCTCTCTGGGGTCCCTTTTGTATGGTTTCTAATCCCAGTCATAAGGGCTGTACCCTCGTGCTTAATCACTTCCCAAAGGCCTCCCTCCTAATACCATGATATTGGGGGTTTGGGTTTCAACTTATGAATTTGGGGTAACAGTCTACAACAGATCTCTTGAAGGGAAGTTGCAGCCATCAAAACCCTGTATCTCTTCACTTAAGTATACTACTAGAGAATAAGGATACTCTTAAATATGGTAAAATTTTTAAACTCAGAAAATGTACATAACAATACTGTTATCTAATACACAAATCTGTATAGCCCTATCTTGACATTTGTCTCAGTTATTTATAGCGGTTCTTTAAATTCATGTTAATTCTTAAAATTCTTTATAAATAGGATAACAAATCTTTTAAATCTTTTAAGATAGCAGGTGTATTTTCTAATTTGGCTTGAGCTGCACTGTCTGCTTTTTAAAAAATTCCATCTACGATTGTTCCAGTCCCATCTGTGAATACTGAAAAGAATGTACCAGAGGAATTGTGGGCATTTCCAAATTTAGAGTGTTAAGTGTCTGAGTTACAGTGGCAGCAACATTTGAATTAATGAACTCATTCCCATGGTGACTGTATTGAAGACCATATCATCCAGCATATTTATTTTAGTATCTGTTCAAGAACTGGTTTTGTACTTAGTACTTTAACATAAATCGACTGTTTAGTGAAATCATCACATATTCTCATTGAATCGCCTGTACTTTCTTCCTATCTCCCTCTCCCTTATTTTCCCCCTTTGAACTAAAGGAAGAAGAGTTCACAGCAACTGAAACAATGAACAGTGAAACCGAGAATCCTCATAAACCACCATCTAGTACGTTGTCAAAAGGTGTAGCTTCTGATGCTGACTGGGATAATGGCATTGATGATACTTATTTTTTGGAAGCTACCGAAGATGCTGAATTAGCAGAAGCTGCAGAGAATGGCCTTCTCAGTTATTATAGTGGAGTGGATGAAATTCCTGATGAACTAATTTTGCAAGTATTGCAAGAGTAATTAACTCTGGACTGGTATATAAGTAGGCTGTAATTTTGCCTGAAGGCGGTTTAGTAACATAAATATATTGTTATAGTAACTTTTTATTAAAACCGTCTATATCAACTAAGTTTTATCACTCTGCTTCTCAATTCTTGTTTTTTACTGAAGTAAGCCAGTTTTATTGAAAATTAACTTTGAAATCGTAACTGACCAGTGTTGGTATAGGTTCATATCAGCTTAATTTTGCATGTTTATTTATAGGTTAAAACTCATTACAAATTTTGTTTTAAATTGAGGTATCATTGACATACAGTATATCCGGGTGTATATTGTAGTGATTTGATATCTTTATACATTACAAAATGATCCCCATGAGAAGTCTAGTTACCATCTGTTATCACACAAAGTTAGTACAATATTATTGATTATATTCTCTGTACTGCATATCACATCCTCACGACTTTTTAAGTTTATTTATTTTGAGAGAGTGAGTCAGTCTGGAGGGGAAGAGAGAGAGAGAGAGAGAGAGAGAGAGAGAGAATGAGAATATCCCAAGCAGGCTCCATGCTGTCAGCACAGGGCCCAGTGTGGGACTGGATCCCATGAACCGGGAGGTCATGACCTGAGATGAAATTTCAAGAGTCAGATACTCAACCAACTGACCCAACCAAGCACCCCCCTCATGACTTATTTTGTAACTGGACATTTGTAGCTCTTAGTCGTCTTCACCCCTCCTTCTGGTAACCAACAATTTTTTGTATCTATGCGTCTGTTCTGCTTTATTTTTAGATTCCACGTGAAAGCGAAATCATATGGAATTTTGTCTGACTTATTTCACTTAGCATAATATACTCTGGTTCCATCCATGTTGTTACAAATGGCAAGTTTTTATTCTTTTTTATGGCTGAGTGATATTTCAGTGTGCATGCGTGTGTGTGTGTGTACATGTGTGTGTACCTCATTTTCTTCATTCATCTATCAGTGGACACTTAGGTTGCTTCCATGTCTTAGCTGTTATAAATAATGCTTCAATAAACGTAGGTACATACATTCTTTTGAATTAGTGTTTTCATTTTCTTCAGGTAAATACCCAGAAGTGGGATGATTGTATCACATGCTATTTCTATTTTTAATTTTTTGAGGAACCTCCATACTGTTTTCCACAGTGGCTGCTCCAACTTACATTCCCACTAACAGTGCATGAGGGTTTCCTTTTCTCTACATCCTCACCAACACTTGTTTATCCTTTTTCATAATAGCAATCTGATGGGTCTGAAGTAATACCCATTGTGGTTTTGATTTGCATTTCTCTAAGGACTAGTGTGCTATTGCACCATCTTTTCATGTGTCTGTTGTCTATGTGCATATCTGCTTTGGAAAAATGTTTATTCAAATTCCTTGCCCATTCAAAAAAATTTTTTATATTAAGTTTTTTTAATATGTTTTGGATATCAATCCCTTATTGTAAGATATATGACTTGCAGATATTTTCTCCATTTCAGTAGGTTGCCTTTTCATTTTGTTGTTGGCTGTGTAGAAGCTTTTGAGTTTGATACAATCCTACTTGTTTATTTCAAAGCTTTTGTTGCCCTTGCCTAAAGAGACTAGTTCAAAAATATTCATAAGGCTGATGTCACAGGGCCAACTGCCAGTGTTTTCTTCTGGGAGTTTTATGGTTTCACGTCTTATGTTCAGGTCTTTAATCCATTTTGAATTTTTCTACATGGTGTAAGATAGTGGTCTAGCTTCATTCTCTTGCATGTAGCTGTCCAGTTTTCCCAGCACCATTTATTGAAGAGACCGTCTTTCTCCATTAGTATATTGTTGCCTCGTTTGTCATAGATTGATGGACCACATTAATTGAATAGCCTATATTTTCTTCCCATCTCACTCTCCCTTATTTTCCCCTTCTGAACTAAAGAAGAGGCCACAGCAGCTGTGAATGGGTCTTTTTCTGAGCTATTTCATTGATGTATGTTTCTGTTTCTGTGCAATTACCATACTGTTTTGATTACTGCAGCTTTTATAGTACAGTTTGAAATCAGGGAACACGACCCCTTCAGCTTTGTTCTTCCTTCTAAAGACTGCTTTGACTATTGAAGGTTTTTTACGGTTCCATACCAATTTTAGGATTCTTTATTTTAGTTCTGTGAAAATGCCATTGGCATGTTGATAGGGATTGTATTGAATATGTAGATGGCTTTGGGTAGTATGGCCATTTTAACAATATTACTTCTTCCAGTCCACGATCAAGGGTATCCTTACATTTATTTGTGTCCTCTTCAATTTCTTTCATCAGTGTTTCATAGAGTCTTATAGGTCTTTCACCTTAAATTTATTTCCAGGTATTTTATTCTATTTGATGCAACTGTAAATGGGATTGTTTTCTTAATTTCTGATAGCTTAATATTAGTGCACAGAAACTTAATTTTGTATCCCGCAACTCTACTGAATTCATTTATTCAAATAGTTTTTTTGGTGGAGTCTTGAGGGTTTTCTTTATGTAGTGTTAGGTCATCTGCAAATAGTGACCGTTTTACTTCTTCCTTTCCAGCTTGGATGCCTTGTATTTCTTTTTCATGCCTAACTGCTGTGGCTAGGATTCTAATACTATGTTGAGTAAAAGGTGAGAGTGGGCATCCTTGTGTTGTTCCTGATCTCAGAGGAAAAGCTTTTCGCATTTCACTCTTGAATATGTTTGCTGTGGGTTTGTTATATATAGCCTTTATTATGTTGAGATATGTTCCTTGAAGTATGTTGAGGATGTCAAATTTTGTCAGATGCTTTTTCTGCATCCATTGAAATAATCATGTGATTTTTGTCTTTTGTTAATGTGGTGTATCATGTTGATTTGCAGATGTTGAACCATCCTTGCATCACTAGAATAAAACCCACTTGATCATTAGTAAAGGTCCTTTTAATACATTATTACATTTGGCTTGATATTTTGTTGAAGACTTTTGTATCTATGTTCATGAGGTAAATTGGCCTATAACTTTTTTTTTTTTAATGGTGTCTTTCGTTTTGGTCCTCAGTTTGTGCTGGCCTCGTAAAATGAATTTGGAAGCATTCCTTCAAGTTTTTGGGATAATTTGAGAAGAACAGGTACTACTTCTTTAAATGTTTGGTAGAATTCACCTGTGAAGCCACTTGGTCTTGGGCCTTTTGGGGGGGGGGGGAGGTGTTAAATTACTGATTGTTTCATTACTTGTAATTGATATATTCAGATTTTCTATTTCTTAGTGATTCAGTCTTAGAAGATTGGGTGTTCTAGGAATTTATCCACTTGTAGGTTGTCCAATTTATTGCTGTATAATTATTCATAGTAATCTCATGAGCCTTTGAATTTCCGTGATGTCAGTTGTACCCTCTCCTCTTCCATTTCTGACTTTATTCATGAGCCCTCTCTTTTTCTTAATGAGTCTGGCTAGAGATTTATTAATTTTTATCTTTTAAAAGAACCAGCTTCACTTTCACTGATCTTTTTAAATTGTTTTTGTTGTTGTTGGTTTAGTCTCTATTTCATTTATTTTTCCTTCTGCTCTTTATTATTTCCTTCCTTCTGCTAACTTTGGGCTTTGCTTGGTCTTTTTCTAGTTCCTTTAAGTATAAAATTCGATGACTTGGGAGTTTTGTTTCTTGAGGTAGGCCTGTATCCGTATGAAATTCCCTCTTAGAACTGCTTTTGTTGTGTCCCAGATTTTTGGAAAGTTGTTTCCATTTTTATTGTCCCATGGTATTTTTTAATTTCCTTTGATTTCTTTATTCAGTAGCATGCTGTTTATGCTCTGTGTTTGTATTTTTTCAAGTTTTCTTCTTGTAACTTGTTTCTAGTTTTATACTGTTGTAATCAGAGAATAGGGTTAATAGGATTTGTTTCCCTGATTTATTTCTTGGGGAAAACTCCATGAGCACTTGAAAAGAATGTGTATTCTATAGTTTTGCAATGAAATGTTCTGTATATATTAAGTCCATCTGGTTTAATGTGGTAAGGCCAATGTTTCCTTATTGGTTTTCTTTCTGTTCAATCCATTAGTTTAAGTGGGGGTATTAAAGTCCCATACTATTATTATATTGTCATTTTCTCCCTTTGTTAACATTTGCTTTATGTGTTTAGGTGCTTCTGAGTTGGGTAAATAGATGTTTATAAATGTTATATATCCTCTTCTTGTATTGACCCTGAGTCATAATGTAATGCCCTTATCTTTTGTTAGTTTGTTTAAAGTCCATTTTAGTTAATAGAAGTATCGCTTTTCATTCCCTTTGCATGGAATATCTTTTTCCATCCCTTCACTTTGTGTTTAGGTCTGAAGTCTAGGCAGCACATACATGGGTCACTTCCTTGATCCATTTAGCTACACTGTATGTACTTACTGCCATTTTGTTAATTGTTTTCTGGTTGTTTTTGTGCTTCTCTGTACTTTCTCTTCATCTCTTCCCTTGTGGTTTGATGGCTTTCTTTAGTGTTTAGGTTCTTTTCGCTGTCTTAGAGATTTTTGGTTTGTGGTTATCATGAGGTTTGTATGTATTGATCTGAGGTTTGTATGTATTGATCTACATATATATAGCAGTCTATTTGAAAATTTTTTTAATGTTTATTTTTGTGAGAGAGAGTGCGAGCAGGGGAGGGGCAGAGAGGGAGGCAGACACGGGATCTGAAGCAGGCTCCGTGCTGACAGCTCATATGCGATGCAGGTCATGATCTTGTGGCAGGGCTTGAACTCACGAACCACGAGATCATACCCTGAGCTGAAGTCTGGATGTTTAACCGACTGAGCCATCCAGGTGCCCCTACAGCAGTCTATTTCCAAACGATAGTCACTTAGAGTTCTTGGCGGGATAGCTGAGGCTGGCCAGGTGGCCCCAGGGTGCCCTGTGCCCTGGCAGGACTGCGGCAGTAGGCACAGGCCAGGGTGTCCGTGTTCTCCAGCGAGATGGCTGGGGCTGGAGTGGCCCCAGGCTGAGGGGGTCCCGGTGGGGCGGCTGGGGCAGGTGCAGGCCTGCACTGGAGCCGCTGTGGGCTGGAGGCCCTGGGCTCACTGGGCCAGTCCTCGGAAGAGTGGAATGCCTGGGCCCGGCTCCTGTCTGGCCATCACGGTGGAAGGGAAAGTAAACAATGGTGCCCATCAGCCCTTCGGCCCCAGAGAGTTTTAGCAGTTCTTCAGCAGCTTGGTGGATGTGCTAAGCTTAATAAATGCGTTTCCTTTGCTTACAGTCCATTTGTCCTTTAAATCGATGTTTTGGGTTTTTTTTTTTTTTTTTTTTTTTTGCTGTGCCCCAGGACTGGTGAGCGTGCATGCAGGCCTCAGTGCTATTCCTCCCTGCTGCTGGCCAGCACTTGGGGGTGAGGAAGGTGTCCCTCTAGCATCGTGCAGAAGCTGTTCCATCAGCCCTCGGTGGTGCAGGAGGAGCTGCTCTCTATGTAGGTGCAGACTCCGCGTGGCCAGCGGAGGAGGGGAGTTAGGGTCTTCGGTGCCCGTCTTAGAACACCTCCCTGTGCTACTCAGGGCAGAGCTTTCTGTCCACCTCTGATCAGGTGTCAACGTTTTAAGTCTTGTTACTCAAGACTTAGCCAGAGAAGATAACTAATCACACTGTTGCCACTTAATGCGATCAAATTAAAGGACCATGAACAAAGTACTAAATTTTGGTGACAAACCAGCCCAAACAAGGAGACAAGTTAACTTTTCAGGGAGTTTTTATTTACAAAAGTATGGATCGGAAGACCACAGGCTGCAGCAGGGGACTGATCCTTCTATTCGGCATGTTTTAGTCGGCTGGCTTCATTTCCGGTCAAGGAGCTTCTCTAATTGATGGTTGATGTTTTGCAGATGGGTCTCAGCTCCTAAAAGGGTTCTTGCCTGAACTAACAGAGCTGGAAGGCTGGATGAATCATACTGTCAAAGGCAAATTATTTGGATTAAGTATAACAAACTTTTATAACCCTGTTATACAGCTCCATGCTGAATAGAGCTTTCCACTACTTTCATTTTTCAAACGATCATTGGTTTAATCCTTTTCCTTAGGGCATAATTAGTAAGGTTACAAGGGACCCCTCTCTAGAAAGTTTTAGGCTGATCTCATCCCGGAAAAAGTTCCAAGAACTGTGGCATCTAAATCATGTACAACAAAATCACTTCCTGGTACATATTGAGACTGGGTTTGGGCAAGTCTGCTTGATCTCATGCTGGTTTTAAATCCAGAAAACTGTAAGGCAGATGGACTTTTCCTGGAAGAATTAATGGAATGAAAATACCAGGCCCATAAAAGTTCATGAGGGAAAAATTAATCACGTAGAAAAACTGAAGACAAAATTAGACAACCCAGCATAAACTCGTGATTTTGAAATGACAAAGCCAGGCTCCATGTTGTAACTTGTATCTACGGATGAGTGACTAAAGTCCTCTTCCAGTCTGTCATACTTACAACAGTTTGTTTAAAATCACGTTTTCAAGGGGTTTTTCTTAGTAATGAAAAGAGCAGCTTTGAGCAGAAAAGCCATCAGACGATTGCTACCACTCACCTAATAATACAGTTGTTTCTAGCCTATCACGTACCCTATTACTGGGGAATTCAATTTCACAGATATTTGAGAGCCTGCTGTGTTCAAGCTACCATGGGGCGCCTGCTCTCAGGGAGGCGAGAGAGGGAAGAACTAACATCTGGTGTTAGATTTCTGGTTTAGGAAAAGAAGTAGGACATAAACCCAAATACCTACTTTCCCTGAAGGAAGAGATGCTGCAAGAGTACAGAAGGCCCGTGGGGCAAAGTACAGCTGCCACATCTGTTTTCACCAGTTATGCTCAAATTTAGTGCTCAGGATGTCTCCAAGTTAGTAACCAAATCCCCAACTCCAAGCAAGCTTTGGGCCAAGTGTGTGTGGGCACAGAGAACAGTAATTGAAAAGCATTCCTTGTCCGTATCTAATACACAGACAAGCTTAAGGCTTTTAGATTGGTGTAAGAAAACTCAATTTAGAAGTGAAGTCTAATGCTGCTCTGCAGGCCGACTGTAATGTTGCATCCACCTTTCTCCTCAGAGCTGCTAATCCTCAACAGGCAAATGCCCCCTCTTCTCAATCACAGTGAAAAATAAAAATCAATGTTACCGTTTCTTTTACATGTGGTTCTTTCTCTCGAGTATCTGAATAATCTCGATGAAGCTGTTTTAAGTTAGATAAGAAACACGCTGCATTCCTAAGGGAAGATTTTCTCTCCTCAAGCTCGACGTATTTTATTTGTAGTTGTTTCATCTGTGGCTCTAACCTACAACAAGAAAAAATATTTCCCCACATATGAATGGCACATAATGGAGACTGAGGACGCAGGTAGACGGAGCGAGGTAAGACCATGCTGTGAGGGGGGGCTAGATCTTTAAAGGTATCTTCACTTCTGAAATTACGAATGTGGGACAGAGTCTAGATTTCAATTTGAAATACAATACACAATGAAGAATTAGAAATGACATCCACAGACGAAGAGGTCTTCTAGATCCTAAAACCTGTCCATATTGTTGGGAACCACTGAATTAAGACACAGTTTGGTTAACAAGTCATAGCCTCAGGTGGGAGGAGAGAGGCTGCGCAGGTCAACAGCAACGGCAGGGAAAAAGGCCTTTCCTTCGCCCCTTCCCCTCATCACAGCCTTGTCCATTTTCTAAGATCCAATAAAACCAGTGGAAAAATTATCCAAGTGCCTGGATGGAAAATGTATAGGTAAACCACTATATCTTTCAGTGTCTTCTTTCTTACCCTGGAAAGAAAAAACGGATAACTTGGATTTTATGGACAAATAAAGGCGGGGGAGGAGGCTGCCGATTTTTTATTCTCTCAAAGATAAAAGGATTTTTCTAAAAGGATATTAGAGTTACTTTTTCACAGTGGTGTCTGCTGAACAAATGCAGCACTGTGGGCAAGCTGGCTGGGGCAGGAGGGCGGGGTGCGGAGGCAGTCTGTACCCAGGAGATCCTGGCCCCGACTTCCTGGGGGTGGGACTGGGGGTAGGTTACCTCCCTCGGCCTTGGGGTTTTCCACATGTGAAGTTAGAATAATGATACACTGCAGGTTTCTATGCCTTCTCAAGACATACTTTTCGACTTCTAGAATTGTATCTAGAAAAGGAACCAGAGGCGCTGGTCTGTAAGAGGTCTGATTCTCACTATCCTGCCATAATAACCCACCTCCCAGGACCACGATAAGGAGCTAATACATAAAGCATTTCAGACAGTGAGCGGCACACACAGGAAGCTTGTTTAAGTGCTATTTTCTTTGGGCCTGAGCAGACGCTCCGCCAAGGGCCAGCACCTGCCCACAGACTGGACTGGAGAACAGTGAGCTGGACACCCAATCCCACCCTCTCCTAGGCTTCTGGCATTCTCTCCTTTAAAACTTAGTACTATAATTGTAGGCCATCTTTTCCAGTAATACCACTTTCTTGCCCTATTTTAAAACGCCTACAAAGAGCAGAGAGGAGATCTGCTTCTCTGGCCACTGCTCTCCCCCAGCCCTCAGCTCACACGACGGTCCCGTCGCACAGAAGACCACCCACAACTACGAGCTGGTTGACTGTCAGCGGCAGCAAACCCCAGGCTTCGTAACCACACATGGGGACAGCCCCGACTGTGTTCCCGGCCCCACACGTGGGGACGGGTTCACAGGAGGGCTACGCCAACAAGAACACGAACACAAGCCGTTAACACCTACACAGCACTTACTGGATACCACTGCGAGGCACATTGTGTATATTTATTCACTGAATTCTCTCAACACCCTGGGGGGGGGGGGGCAGGTATTGTGCTCGTTTACCAAGGAGGCGCTGAGGCACCGGGCGGTTGCACAGCCAGTAAGTGGCAGACCCTGGATTCGAACCCAGGCAGTCTCGTGCAAAAGTCCATGCGCTTCATCTGTAACTGGGCCACCTCTCAGGCTGGAGTTGAGACAGCTGATAGAGACAGATGAAGGCTGAACTCTTCTTTGCTAAAAGCTTCTACTCAGCCACATAACCTACCTTCACTGAGCTTCCGGGCACAAAGAAAACCTGGAATTTCAAGGTAATAAGGCAGATTTTCACAGCCCCACGTGACGTACTGTGATTCAATCCTTGCAGCTAAGTTCTCAGAGGAGTCTGACATTATCTTACCGAAGCAGTTCATCCTGGAGTTCGAGCAAACGCTGCCTTTTCTTCTCAATATCTGAAATAATCTAAAGTAATACAATAATTTGTTAAAATAACTCCCTCAATGTTTGAGCACCGCTATGTACACTGTACCAGATTCTAGAAAAACAGTGGGAAAGAGACTGCATCTTCCCCCTCACGGAGCTTCGGTCTAAGGGGAAGACAGACATATGAACAGCAGGTAACTACGACCTGTCATGTGCTATGGATAAAAACAATAGGGAACTCTGGGAAGTAGGGTATCTACCCCAGGACAACTCTGAGGAGGAAGTGGGGGCCAGATCTTTACTACCCTGTGAGTTACTCAATAAGGAGTCTGGATTTTATCTGGGTACACTAGGAAAATACTGAAGCAGGAGTGTCCTGATACAACCTGTATCTAAGAAAGAATACTTCCACAGAACAAATTTTATTATCTCAGCCATCACCTTTAGTGACTACCAGATCCACGGCTGGACCATTCCCAGGGGCTTGGAAGCCATGCGGAATTGATCAGTATGAAAATAAAACTGAGGGAAAAAAAACCCAACAAAGGCTTGTAATCACTGAAATGAATATGCATTTCAAGTCTATTTCTATTAGAAATGTAGAGGGGGGCTGCTCTTCAGTCCTGGATTCCTGCAGGCTTAGAGCTCAGAGGTCATCTGGTCCCACCGCACACTGGTGTTCATGGGCTTGCTTCTCCTCACATACCTAGTGCTAGAGTTTGCAAGAGAGTGGTACAACATCAATACAGCAGAACCAGGATGAGAACTGAGGTCGCCTAACCCTTAATGCTGTATTCTTCCCAGGCTGTCCCTTTACGTGGGCCATGGGACAGTTCTTTATCCCATAAGGTTTTACTTCTTTGACAGCCACAAAATCAATACATATATATTACTTAATACTTAATAACTAGTAACAACTTAATACCTTGTAAGTGTCATCTTGGGCTTGATGGCCATTTTAGGCAAGTTAGGATCCCCATCCCTTCGCATGCATTAGGACCCAACCACAAGATCAACCAGATACAAGCCTGACTAAAAAAAACATCTACAAACTGAAGATCATAAAATCGAAGGAGTCACGGCTTTTCTTAACCCTGCACATGCTAGAGTTCTATATGACCGTGTGCTTCTAATCACACGAGGGATATACCTTCGTGTTCTTCCTTTTCAGGGTTTTCGACGTCTGGATGTCTTTGAGCTGCACAAAAGAAAAAAAATACATATTTGTGTGTGTTTTCCAAAATTAAAATGTTTATTAACTTACCATATATCACATTGAAAGACCACATGTGAAACACGAATAGTTCGAGTGAGTTCTTTACCACACTGCAATCTTTTCTTAGATAACTAACCGTATGCTGCCCGCGACTGGCAAAAACAATTCAGACCGACAAACTTATGGTCTGTGAGCTTACCATTTTGAGGAGTTCTTCTTCCATATGAGCATGAAATTTTTTGATGGCTTCCTTACAGATTTTAGATTCTACTTTTTGTCTACAGCAGGAAAAAAAAAAAACAAAGAAGAAAGGATCACACTAGGTATCATACAAAGGATTTTGAAAGGTGTGTTTCATTTGCTTAGCACATCAACAAACCACGATTTGGCATATACTATTCCGAAGAAGACGGCCTGGCTAGCGTGCTGCCTTTTCTCAGGCTAAAAAAAGAAAAAAACTACCGGACAGAGTCTCAACAAAAGAGAAAGAACATGTTCCCCTAAACCTTCAGGTACATGGTTACCTGAACTTCCTGATACGGGCCACGCCCACAGGTGAAGGCGTGAGACGCAGGAAAGGCTCACGGCCCGTGTTCACCCTTTACTGTCCTGCCACTAGTGTGGTCATCGGATGACCAGCAAGCCGACCCCTCCCTGCCCGCTGACAACCAGAGGAATAATCGTGTCACACGTCCGGACTAGCCAACAGGCGGCGAGAAGCCAGCCGGACTGGTAGCCACAAGTCTGGTTCTTCAAACACTTAGAAAGCTCACCCACACAAAGTGGTTCCGGTCCGTCTTCAGGACAAAAGCCTCCGAGTCTCCCAGTTCGGCGCGCTCATGGCCGAACGGCAGAGCCACAGTGCTACGCGGCAGCGGGACAGCAGCTAAGCCCCGATGCTGCCTCCACGCAGGATCCTAGAGTGTGAGTGTGTGCTTCCAGCCGGAAGTAATAAATACCTGGTATGAGTGACAGGTCGTTACCAAATGGTTTCTTTCTTGGGGGAAATCCATGAGGAGGCAAAGTCCCTCAGAAGAAGGGGACTGAGCTAAGCGCTACACAAGAGAAGGCCCGTAGGTCTGAATATAGATCTCTGTAGTTCTCATCAAGACTGTTAAAAGGTATGTCTAGTAACATCGGCAAGATAGTGGAATAGGAAGCCCCCCACATCAGACTCCCCCACAGGGAAACCAACTTAATAACTATATATGGCCAAAAAAGCCCTGTGACAATTTCAGAAACCAACTGAGTCGCAGGCAAGTTCTAAGTCAAGAACAGTCATACTGAAACAGGTGAGAAAAGCTGTTTCCTATCAACTTCAACAGCCCTTCTCCCAAGCCAGCACAGCTTGGTTGAGCCAAGAAGCTCCGTGCATGGTTTCTCCCTTGGGAAAGGAAGAGAAGAGTGGAACGTATGTCCAATGTCATGGCTTTTCGGGGGGCTGCCCAAGGGACACCTTTCCACCTTGCCTGATTTGGAACGCTAACGGAACCAGCATACTTCAGATGCCTGACTGCCGTGGAGAACAAAGTCCAATGGCTTTCTACAGCGACAGAACTGGCAATGCTGCGGACAGGGGATCAGGAAAAATGGCCCAGCTCATGCCTTCTCCCTTGGTTGCGGGGGGCAGGGGGGGCAGGGGGAGAGAAGAGCAAGAACGTTATCCATCATTTGGAATGGTTTCTGTGTCACCTGAAGTATGACAATGGTGGGAACTGAACTAGTTTGGATGCCTTTGGTCACAGAGACCAAAAAAGAGCTCAGCAGCCTGTTGCAGAGAGCTCTAGTCTTCGGAGATTACAGATTCTTAAGAAAGAAAGAAGCAAACCTCTCCAGTTGGCAAATCACATGCACAAGCCCAAAGAAGATACATCTCTCAGAAAGGACTGAGGGACCACCAGAACTGAGGGACTGCCTAGGCTGACTGGTGAAGGTACAAAGCCTGTACAAGGCCGGTATGTAAAGACCAGGAGAGGTGGCTGCTTTTTAAATGTATACAACACAGCAAAAAATAACAAGGCACTAGAAGAAACAAGAAATCATAACCCAAATAAGTGGGGGGAAAAATCCCCAGAAACAGACCCTAAAGAAAGATATGGACATCTACGAATTTGCTAACAAAGAACTAAAAAATGATCACCTTAGTGAAGTTCAATGTGCTACAAGAGAACACAGATGAATAAACTAAATCGGGAAAATGACGCATGAGAGTATCAACAAAGAGAGAGAACCTATAAAAAGAACCAAACAAGTTCTGGAACTGAATAAGCTAACTGAATTGAAAAATTCACTAGGTGTGTTCACAGCAGATTTGATCAGGCTGAGGAAAGAAATGGGAAACTTGTGGATGAGTCATTTGAAATTATCAATCAGAAGAACAAAAAGAAAAAAGAATAAAATGGAAAAAAGCATGTGGGATTTACAGAAAACATTCAACACACCAAAATGTGCATTATGGGAAGCAGAGAACTTATTTGAATAATGGCCCCAAACTTACCAAATCTGAGGATGAAAATGGACACCCAAATTCAGAAAGCTCAAAAAGCCCCCACCTAAGAGGAACCCAAAGGGGCCCACACTGACACACATTATATTCAAACTGTCAAAATTCAAAGGCAAAAACAGAATCTTGAAAGTAGCAAGAGAAGAGCAACTTGTCATGTACAAGGGAGCTCCCACAACACCACCAATGGATTTCTCAGCAGAGACACTGAAGAACAGAAGGTGGCACGGTCTCTACAAAGCACTGAAGGAAAAGTGCCAACCAATAATACCATACCTGGCAGAACTGTACTTCAACAATGAAGGAGAAGTAAAGACTTTCCAGGTAAACAAAGGCTGAGTGGGTTCATCATCACTAGAACTGCCTTGTAAGAATTACTAAGGGGAACCTTTCAAGTTTAAACAAAAGGACACAATACAGTAACACAAAGGCATATGAAAATATAAAGGTCTGCTAAAGGTATATATACAGATGGATACAGAACCCCATAATATTGGATAGTGAGGCATAAATCACTCTTCATACTGACAATAGATTTTAAAAGCTAGAAGCATAAAAATACCATGAAACTGTGTCAATGGTTAAAAATATAAGAAGGTGAGGGGCACCTGGGTGGCTCAGTTGGTTAAGCGTCCGACTCTTGATGTCTGCTCAGGTCATAATCTCATGGTTTTGTGAGTTTGAGTCCCGCATCAGGCTCTGCACTGATAGTGTGGACCCTGTTTGGGATTCTCTCTCTCCCTCTCTCTTTTCCCCTACCCTACTTACACTGTCTCTGTCTCTTTCAAGATAAATACATAAAAACTTAAAAAAAATATGTAAGAAGGTGAAACCTGCAACATCAGTAACAAAGTGTTATCCCCATATGGTGGGGGAAGGAGACATAAAGAAGTAGTTTTTTTAGGTGACTGAGGTTAAGTTTTTATTCTTTCTTTCATTAACTAATTCATTTATTTTAAGTAGACTTCATGCTCAGTGCAGAGCCCAATGCAGGGCTTGAACTCACAACCACGAGATCAAGACCTGAGCTGAAATCAAGAGTGAGATACTTAACTGACTGAGCCACCCAGGCATACCTAAGTTGTTACCATTTGAAAGCAGACTGCTATAAGATGATTTATGTCATTCCCGTTTGTGTAAGTGCCCGTGTGTGCACACGCGTGCGCGCACGCACACACACACACACACACATACCCACTCTACAGAAGCACAAAAGAAAATAGAATCAAGGCACATCACTACAAAAAAGAAATCAACAAAACACAAAGGAAGGCTATAAGAGAGGAAAAGAGACAAAATAACTATAAGACTTAGAGAAAACAAAATTTAGTAGTAAAATAAGTCAATCACTACCAGGAGTCCCCCCATTCAAAAGCCACTGAGTGGCTGACTGGATTTGAAAAAAAGGATCCAACTATATGCTGTCTATAAAAGATTCTAGTTAGGTATAAGGAAATACACAGGCTGAATATGGAAAAGATATCTCATCCAATGATAACAAAAAGAACGGTGGTGACCATACTTACATTGGACAAATTATACTTTAAGTCAAAAAAAAGTCACAGAAGGAGATGATATGATGATAAAAGTGTCAATTCACCAGGAATATATAAAAGTTATAAATATATATGTACCCAACACTGGAGCACCCACATATGAGTTAACAGAACTGAAAGGGAAAATAGGCAGTAACAGTAATAGTAGGTGATTTCAATACCTCACTTTCTTTTTTTTTTTAATTTTTTTTTTCAACGTTTATTTATTTTTGGGACAGAGAGAGACAGAGCATGAACAGGGGAGGGGCAGAGAGAGAGGGAGACACAGAATCGGAAACAGGCTCCAGGCTCCGAGCCATCAGCCCAGAGCCCGACGCGGGGCTCGAACTCACGGACCGCGAGATCGTGACCTGGCTGAAGTCGGACGCTTAACCGACTGCGCCACCCAGGCGCCCCTCAATACCTCACTTTCAACAACAGATCAAACAGAAGCTCAATAAGGAAACGAGATTTGAACAACACTATAAACCAAATGGATCCAACAAACCTACATAGAACATTCCACCCAGTAAGAACAGAATATACATTCTTCTGATAGGCACACAGAATATTCTCCAAGACAGATCATGTTAGATGATGAAATAAGTCTGAAACAATTTAATATGATTGAAATCATACCAAGTATCTTCTCAGACCACTGTGGAATAAAACTAGAAATCAACAACAAAAGGGAAACTGGAAAACTCACAAATATGTGGAAATTAAACAACATAGTCTTGAACAACAAATCATTCAAACAAGAAATACAAGGGAAATTGGAAAATATCTTGGAACAAATGAAGACAAAAACATAATGCAGCAACACTTATGGGATGCAGCCAAGGAAGTACTAAGAAGCTGATAGCAGTAAATACCTACATTAAAAAAGACGAAATATCTCAAATCAACAACCTAACTTTACACCTCAAGGAACTAGAAAAGGAATATCAAACTAAACAACAGCATAAGACAGAACAGTAAAGATTATAGCAAAAATAAATGAAATGAAAAATAGGAAAAAAAATTAATGAAACTAAGAGTTTTTTGAAAAGATCAACAAAACTGACAAATCCTTAGACTAATACAAAAGGGAAAAGATGCAAAAAATGAAAGGGGAGGCATTACAAGTGACGCTACAAAAATAAAAAGGATCATAAGAGACTACTATAATCCTACTAAAGGATTATAAGCCCACCAATTAGGTAACCATGAAGGAATGCATAAACTTCTAAGAACATAA